GGGGGGGGGTCATCTTCACTCCATCATCCTCACACATTGAAAAGGAAATGTCTCACAGCTTGAGAGGAGGATTAAGGTTTGAGCTCTTACTTCACTAAACGATACTTGGGTCTCTTCCAAGAACAACCTGTGCATCTCCTGTACCGTGTCTATGAAAGAAAACAGAACGTGGTGATCAGGAAGTTTAAATAATTAAATCCTTGGTGTGACTTGTTATAATATTGTAACACTCTGACTTACGCTGAAGGAGCTCATCATCAATATGCTCAATCACAGCTGTTGAAAACCAACCATCCACAGCTGAGCATAATGCTTCAAACATGTACATGTAAGATGATACTTGACTATTCAACCTTATCACCAGATATAGACTAGCAGTAAGCAGCGCAGTTGCTGCATTGCATAAACAAATAGAATCCACGTTGCCGTGTGTCTGTTCTGTACTCAACAACAGATGGCCTCAAATTGCATTACCGAAAAATACTGTCAGATGCATCGCTCACCACAGTGTCAGTGTTTATCATTACCTTCTAAAGATTGATCCTCTGCTGCATCTTCCCTGTGTTCAGCAATAGCATCTAAGAGGGCATTGAAGTGAAATTCAACTTTACTATCTGTGCTCGCATCTACACACTGGCCTTCCTCTGTAAGAAGATCACAGTTGCTGGTAATGTGGTGCATGGGAAGACCCACCTACAAAAGAGGGGTATGCACAAAGTTAATTTAATTTATAGCTTTTAATAAATTTACAGGATCGCAAAGAAACAGGGTTTAATACTGTAAAATAAATTTACTTCTTAAAAGAAAAATTAATAATCATATTCATTGGAATATTACATGTGCATCATGGTAGCTACTGCCAGGTTTCAAAGCAGCCAGGTAGTGGGTAGATCTACCTGCTTGTAGATAATAATGACCTGGCTCTCACTTGCAGCTTTTGCATAAATTATATTTGTACTCCCAACAAGACTTTAGTGTGTGAGGGTCTCAATGGGGTTAGCCACAAGCCATAAAATGGCAAGAAAATTCAGCTGGTACACATAAAAATTGAAAAATTTCAACGATCAGTCATGAAAAAAGTTAACCTTAACAATTTTTCTGTTTAACTTAGTGACAAGAAATTAACCCTTAGTAGTAAAATGGCAAAAATTTTAATCATTAGCCATAACAACCATCACCCTGTTGAGACCCTCATGTATAACTCTCGTCAAATTGGCTGGCATCAAGGAACAATAAAAACAAACTGGAATGAACCTCAAACTAAAGAAAAATACACCTGACAGAGTCTATATCTTCAAAATTAACAGGAGTACAGACCTCTCCATCAAGAAAAGGCCCTCCACAATTACAAAACTGCACACCTGCTATTCTCAACTACCCCACCTGTATCATATTTCATTGAAAGCACTGCCACTGTCTTGTATTTACACAACTGTTTCTCATTTATACATTTCAAATTATTGTTTCTTAAATGTGTTCTCTTCTACAGACAAATGATTCAATATCAACTTTATCCTTTCACTCGTGCAAGTGATAAACATATTTTTTTAAAACAACCCGGCCTATACAATGTCAACACATTTTCCAGCTAACAGATGGTAATGATCATTGACTAATTTCATATTAATTTTCATCTTCTGAACGACTATCTTATATTAAATGTAACATGGAAATTGGTTTGAATTCTCTTTGCTTTACATGCAAATGTATTTCTGTAAAAGGGAAGATAAAAAATTAAAAATTAAAAATTCAGAGTCAAAGGATTGTTATAATTTATTTTAAATTAGTAATTCACAGTATACTTTCACCTGCTCACACAACACTGATATTGGATTATTCACACAGCCATTCAGTATTTGTGCTCCTGTACCAACACAGCATCCTAAAGAATGTGTGTCATCCCACACACGCCCTCCTATCCTGTTTCGACTCTCAACAACTGTCACCTGTAAGAGGACAACATCTTCACTTCTTGAAAATATACACTAACAATTATTAACATTTATTTTACCATAACTGGCAGAGATGTTGCAATTTGCCCTTGTAGATAAGTGTGCAGACAATACTGTGCATATCAACTTATCATGCAACATGTCACACACTGAAAGAATCATTTTATCTGATGTCAGTGTTGTGTTAAAAACAAATCAACAGTGGTTTAGCATGGTCTGTACCCTTATTGACAACGATAATTGTCATCACAGTGGTCAAAATTTGTTGCGGACTCACTCGGCTGCACCTTGTGAGTGCAGTGCTCAATCGAATTTCTCTTCATAATATTACTGCTGAATCAAACAAAATGGTCTTGAAAATAAAGGAAATGATCACCAATTAAGGAAGCTCCTAATTGTTAAACAGATTCCTCTTGTTTACAACTGAAGGAAAAGTATGGAGAATATAGTTACATCTAGTTGCATTAGTGTGTATTAGGAGTTAACATAGGTTAACATCCACTTAGCTCAATGGATAGAGCGCTAGACTGGTGTGCGGGAGGTAGAGGGTTCGAGCCCCGGCCAGACCAACACTCAAGGTCTTAAAATAATTGAGAAGAATATGCTACCTTTCTATAACATCAAGAAATGGTTAGATATTCTAGTCTTCTCTGATAGGGATGAATAAATGGAGTTCCCGTCTCCTGCAGGGTTAGGGGTAGGAGACATTAATTTCCCACGCACAAGTTTACTGTGGGATGGATGTCCTCCCCTGGGGTGGGATGGGTGGGTTAAG